CTGTTTTTCAGTCAACCAGCATCTTGTTCATAATCAACCATACCACAAGATGGCGCAGAATAAAAAAGACAGTCTGCATTTTTCATTTCTCTTGACATTATAGCCGACAAGTTTTGTTTTTTAACAAAAAATGAGGGTGGGCTGGATGACTGAGAAATACAGTAATAACTACATAATTCTAAACACATATTCTTCTTCCTCAACATTTATCCTTTTTAGACATTTATCAATGGTGTTACATGAAGTCATTTAACTTTTCAAAACGTATCAATCAATATTTCTGTGTGCTGGTATTTATATCACCAACTCCTGCACTGAACTTTTCAGATATTTTTACTCCTTAAACCTACAAAATTATCATTTTCAAACCTACAGGAAAGGTTCATAGGATCATAAATATTACAGCTGGAGACTGACAACCAGTCTGATTTGAAAATTTTCTTATTATTCTCCATATATACAAAACCTAAATTTTTTAGAGTGCATTCCCAGAGATTTAGATTGACCTAACTCCCTGGGGGTTCAAACTAAATTGCAGTCAGCCAAGCGCGCACGACCTTTAATTACCCCCTTACAGCTTTTAGTAGGCGGGACAGACGCTTAAGCTGGCTAAGCTGATAGTGAGACTCTCCACAGGGATAGATCGATCTAAAAATATGAGGGAATGGGGTCTTAGTCTTGAGGGGGTGGCTATTAATGTGGTTTATATTTAATGGATATTTACCGTCACAGATCTCCCCAGAGTCCCCCGGAATGTTGGTGGGCAGTTTAATTGAAGAACAGCCGACCTCCCTGGGGTCAAAGAGAAATCTAATTACCCGGGCTCCCCATACAGCTATCTACTTCATAGACAAAGCCTTCTAGCAATTTTGGACAAAATGGTTTAATACGCCTCCCCCGAACCCACAAAACGCATCTGGTCTCTTCCGTTTGTATTGACAGTTCATGTAATGTACATGTGTAATTAATCGTTCTCTGTGTCCCATTGTGTATATTTGACATTACGCTCAGATAGTTTGAAGATAAAAGGAATGGTTCTCTGAACAGTCAGGGCTTATGAATGATTAACTCACGCCACTCAGCTGGGAAATTATTTTGTGAGAGATCTACTCAGCAGTTCAGAATGTAAAGACATATCATGCAATTATCTTCCAGACTCTGCACTTAGAAATATATATATTTTTGAAAATCCCCATGTTTGACATGTATGTGTGTGTTTGTTAAAAATATAATTAAAAATCTCAGAATTCCATGATTCCATACTAAAATTTCTGTATAATGTCTGTATAAAAATGCCGTTTACCACTTACTTGTAAAAGTAGTCTTTCATCTCCCCAGACTACAGCTTTGTTCCAGTCTATCACATCAGAAAATGGCAGCTCCCAGCCATTGGCTAATAAGACTGGGATACAGCCTGCCTGTAGCACTTCTATAAACCTGTGGATATTAGATCAAAAATCATTTAATGAACTTCTCCACACACACACACACACACATGCATTACTTACATTGACATTTGCAAATCTGGTAAATGTAGAGAATTTATTGGCTGGACAACGCTCAATTTATTCAAATCATTTACGCATAAATTATGAAATTACTAAAAACTTTTTTTCTTCAAATAACACTGACACTTATCTAAATTCCCTATAGCGACAAGACCATGTTAAGTTTAGCGATATTGAGTAAGGTGTGACAGTATTGTGTTGAATGAGTGGGACACAACTTGAATAATGAGCAAGATATAAATATGATACTGACCACAAAATTGTTTGATAACACCAAGTTCTGCTTAATGTGTTTGGTGTGATAAAATTGGGTTGGATGTGCAGCAAGGTGATTTAAAACTGTGAAACATGACTATATTGTGTGACAAGGTTGTATTTTATGTGACAAAACTGTGAAAATGGTGATAAAATTTTCCTGGGTGTGACGAAGTTGCATTGTGTACGAAAAGATTGCTTTAGGTGTGACAAGAATGTGTTGGGTTTGACATGATTGCTTTAGGTGTGGCAAGAATGTGTTAAGTGTGACAATATTGCTTTAGATGCGACAGGAATGTGTTGGGTGTGACAAGACCGTGACAAGATTGCTTTGGGTGTGACAAGAATGTGTTGGGTTTGACATGATTGCTTTAGGTGTGACAGGAATGTGTTGGGAGTGACAAGATTGCTTTGGGTGTGACAAGAATGTGTTAAGTGTGACAATATTGCTTTAGATGCGACAGGAATGTGTTGGGTGTGACAAGACCGTGACAAGATTGCTTTGGGTGTGACAAGAATGTGTTGGGTTTGACATGATTGCTTTAGGTGTGATAAGAATGTGTTAAGTGTGACAAGATTGCTTTAAATGGGACAGGAATGTGTTGGGTGTGACAGGAATGTGTTGGGAGTGACAAGATTGCTTTAGGTGTGACAAAATTGTGTTGGGTGTTACAGCATGCTGGAAAGCACTCACCTAAAGGAGCCTAACCTGCGGCCCCTAGGGACTAGACAAAATGTAGAGTTGTTGAGCAATACTTTGTAATCATACCTACAAAAGAGAGAAGACAGACATTGATAAAACATTTCACAGTTCAAAATTTGTTAAATTAGAGAAGCCTTCAGTGAATCTGAAACAAACTTTACTTTGTTCTCTACTACAGAAATGACAATTCAACAAAATGAAAGGATTCAGTGTATACAGAGTGATAAAAAAGTATAACCATTAGATTTCTATTGAAACAAAAACATCAAATTCAGCAACAGTTGCTTCAATATCACACTCAAGGGGGAAAGAACACATTAAGAAGGTATATTAAATCATTGCACTATATAACATTAAGGAGTGTATCCATACAGAACGCAAACAAATATGAACAGAGAACAGCTGCACATACATAATAGAAAATAATCACTTCAGTAGGCACATCTGTGCAAGTTTTTCATTAAGCTGCAGGTGCGCTTATTTTATCTTTATCATTCTTCATCAAGGGTTATTCATCATATTAGCTATAATATTGTGAGAGAAGGATAACAAACACACTAAATGAATGAAGAATGATGCTGAAGTAGGTTTGATGATCGTGTGAAGACGTAACTGATGAACTAAGTCTTTTAGTCTGATACCCATTCCGCACAACAATAAAAGCAAATGCAACATGAGGAAAAAAAAAATNAAAAATACTGGTCCCCCCAATCCCCCCCCCCCCAAAAAAAAAAAAAAAAAAAAAAAAAAAACACACACACACACACACACACACCCTTTTCTGTCAGTGAAAAAACACATTCAACTTCACCATATTATCCACGACCCAACTTGATTCAGCATCCTCAAGCTAATTACCAACAAATGATACATAACAATGCAAATACCTAGCACAAATATTAATACCCATGCTATATCATCATCTTTGCAGGGGCACAGTTCTGTATTAAAAGTCAATATTAGACAGGATATAATTCCCTGTTGATCAATGCCTATCAGCTACATATAAGTTGACATATCTTAGTCACTGATGTGCTAACACTCGCCAATTTAGAGAAATGCTAAAACTGACTTAAACTGGCTACATAAAATGGGGTTAACTTGACTTGTTTTAGTCATTTTGTGAAAAAAGGGATGAAAAAGTAGTGATATTGGCTAAGGAATTTAAAAATAAAATTGTTAGAGCTACCCAGCAAAGAATAAGAAAAGCTATCTGAAAGCTGTTTTTCAGTCAACCAGCATCTTGTTCATAATCAACCATACCACAAGATGGCGCAGAATAAAGAAGACAGTCTGCATTTTTCATTTCTCTTGACATTATAGCCGACAAGTTTTGTTTTTTAACAAAAAATGAGGGTGGGCTGGATGACTGAGAGATACAGTAATTACTACATAATTCTAAACACATATTCTTCTTCCTCAACATTTATAAATCCTTTTTAGACATTTATCAATGGTGTTACATGAAGTCATTTAACTTTTCAAAACGTATCAATCAATATTTCTGTGTGCTGGTATTTATATCACCAACTCCTGCACTGAACTTTTCAGATATTTTTACTCCTTAAACCTACAAAATTATCATTTTCAAACCTACAGGAAAGGTTCATAGGATCATAAATATTACAGCTGGAGACTGACAACCAGTCTGATTTGAAAATTTTCTTATTATTCTCTATACATACAAAACCTAAATTTTTTAGAGTGCATTCCCAGAGATTTAGATTGACCTAACTCCCTGGGGGTTCAAACTAAATTGCAGTCAGCCAAGCGCGCACGACAGTTAATTACCCCCTTACAGCTTTTAGTAGGCGGGACAGACGCTTAAGCCGGCTAAGCTGATAGTGAGACTCCCCACAGGGATAGATCGATCTAAAAATCTGAGGGAATGGGGTCTTAGTCTTGAGGGGGTGGCTATTAATGTGGTTTATATTTAATGGATATTTACCGTCACAGATCTCCCCAGAGTCCCCCGGAATGTTGGTGGGCAGTTTAATTGAAGAACAGCCGACCTCCCTGGGGTCAAAGAGAAATCTAATTACCCGGGCTCCCCATACAGCTATCTACTTCCTAGACAAAGCCTTCTAGCAATTTTGGACAAAATGGTTTAATATGCCTCCCCCGAACCCACAAAACGCATCTGGTCTCTTCCGTTTGTATTGACAGTTCATGTAATGTACATGTGTAATTAATTGTTCTCTGTGTCCCATTGTGTATATTTGACATTACGCTCAGATAGTTTGAAGATAAAAGGAATGGTTCTCTGAACAGTCAGGGCTTATGAATGATTAACTCACGCCACTCAGCTGGGAAATTATTTTGTGAGAGATCTACTCAGAAGTTCAGAATGTAAAGACATATCATGCAATTATCTTCCAGACTCTGCACTTAGAAATATATATATTTTTGAAAATCCCCATGTTTGACATGTATGTGTGTGTTTGTTAAAAATATAATTAAAAATCTCAGAATTCCATGATTCCATACTAAAATTTCTGTATAATGTCTGTATAAAAATGCCGTTTACCACTTACTTGTAAAAGTAGTCTTTCATCTCCCCAGACTACAGCTTTGTTCCAGTCTATCACATCAGAAAATGGCAGCTCCCAGCCATTGGCTAATAAGACTGGGATACAGCCTGCCTGTAGCACTTCTATAAACCTGTGGATATTAGATCAAAAATCATTTAATGAACTTCTCCACACACACACACACACACACACACACACACACGCATTACTTACATTGACATTTGCAAATCTGGTAAATGTAGAGAATTTATTGGCTGGACAACGCTCAATTTATTCAAATCATTTACGCATAAATTATGAAATTACTAAAAACTTTTTTTCTTCAAATAACACTGACACTTATCTAAATTCCCTATAGCGACAAGACCATGTTAAGTTTAGTGATATTGAGTAAGGTGTGACAGTATTGTGTTGAATGAGTGGGACACAACTTGAATAAGGAGCAAGATATAAATATGATACTGACCACAAAATTGTTTGATAACACCAAGTTCTGCTTAATGTGTTTGGTGTGATAAAATTGGGTTGGATGTGCAGCAAGGTGATTTAAAACTGTGAAACATGACTATATTGTGTGACAAGGTTGTATTTTATGTGATAAAACTGTGAAAATGGTGATAAAATTTTCCTGTGTGTGACGAAGTTGCATTGTGTATGAAAAGATTGCTTTAGGTGTGACAAGATTGTGTTGGGTGTTACAGCAGCTGGAAAGCACTCACCTAAAGGAGCCTAACCTGCGGCCCCTAGGGACTAGACAAAATGTAGAGTTGTTGAGCAATACTTTGTAATCATACCTACAAAAGAGAGAAGACAGACATTGATAAAACATTTCACAGTTCAAAATTTGTTAAATTAGAGAAGCCTTCAATGAATCTGCAACAAACTTTACTTTGTTCTCTACTACAGAAATGACAATTCAACAAAATGAAAGGATTCAATGTATACAGAGTGATAAAAAAGTATAACCATTAGATTTCTATTGAAACAAAAACATCAAATTCAGCAACAGTTGCTTCAATATCACACTCAAGGGGGAAAGAACACATTAAGAAGGTATATTAAATAATTGCACTATATAACATTAAGGAGTGTATCCATGCAGAATGCAAACAAATATGAACAGAGAACAGCTGCACATACATAATAGAAAATAATCATTTCAGTATGCACATCTGTGCAAGTTTTTCATTAAGCTGCAGGTGCGCTTATTTTATCTTTGTCATTCTTCATCAAGGGTTATTCATCATATTAGCTATAATATTGCGAGAGGAGGATAACAAACACACTAAATGAATGAAGAATGATGCTGAAGTAGGTTTGATGATTGAGTGAAGACATAACTGATGAACTAAGTCTTTTACCCATGAAACATGCAGAAATTGAATGTTTTTTGTCTAGAGTCTATAAAGGAGATGAACCCATAACCTTACACATTCCGCACAACAATAAAAGCAAATGCAACATGAGGAAAAAAANCTCTCTCTCTCTCTCTCTCTCTCAAACACACACAATTATCAAAACCATTTCTCAATTCAAAGGAATGTATCAAGTTATAAATTTAAGATAATTTATCAATTAAATTAATGCATACTGCACTGTACAAAGCCAGGCACACGGGCAAATCATGATTCCAGTTCAACTCATTTACTAGTAATAACATTGTGTAAGAATGGTTCATTTGAAAGCAATCATGCCCTGAAACGGATAAATGAAAACAGATATTTCATGTACAAACATAAAAATATTCAGATCACTTCAGCATAAATTTTAACCAAATGTTAAATATACTAGAAAATCTTGGTGAAGGAAAGTGTTATTTCTAATACCTCCAAAAAACTGAGAGAGAGAGAGAGAGAGAGAGAGAGTGAGTGTGTGTAAGAAAGAGAGAGAGGGAGAGACTACCATTCTCATCTTGCTCAGGAAAATCTTTTTAGAAAATATTCCTGTTTAACAACCAATTCATCATCAATTCAAACAAATTTTTTCTTTGGCTCAAATCACCCTGCTATTGAGCTACAAGACATTTTATCCGTGAGAAATCTCAGATCGTGAGAAATCTCAGATCGTGCATTCCAGTCAACATGGCCGACATCTCAGAGGCCAAATATTCTCATATAAACAGTAAATCAACTCTACCCAGGCATGCGTCCCAGACACAAAAAAAATTCCATTCAAATAACAATTCATTTAAACACGTCCCCCCTCAATACTGGCCATGCCTACCACTATATTTCACCCGACAACCTACGCCAGACTTTGTTTGAACTTAGCGTCCTGCACCCTGTGACCCCATGGTTCACAACAACACAGACAGTCGGCCAATAAAACCAATAACACTTTTAGTTTGCCGTTAACCATGCAATGCCACTCTATCCAATAGAAGAAAGGTCAGAACTAGCGCCCTCTGACCCCTGAGGGCATAAATCAAAGACCAAGGGCGTAAATCAAAACACATGGTATTATTTTGCATAACACCATGCATAAATTGGTTTAGTTCAGGGGCAATGAGAACAGGGAGGGGAGCACTTTTTCAGTAGATTTGCATGCACAAACCTAACCCAAATTTCATTTCTACATTTTTTGACTGAGAAGGATACCTTGATGACCTTTTTTTATTTATTATTATTTTACAAAATCTGAATGTGGTGCTTAACTAGTTACTAGTTTCAGACTAGAATTGTAGACCTGTGGTGATCATGAATTGTTTTTTATTTACAACAAGGATACTTTTTTGTAGGCAATAAAATAAAGAAATATTGGTCTAGTCTCAGTATTTTGGACTTATTTAGTAAAATGTTTCATAAGACTGTCTATTCTTCCTTTTCGGTTGCAAATTTATAGTTTTGAAAATTAACACGGATCTGTCTGAATCAGTACTATTTTTCTATGTAATGGGTAAGTGGAATAAAATTCAGAAATTTTCTTTGAAAATTAGGAGAGCACCCCATGTAATCACAACTATAGGTCTTCCTGTATTGTAATAATATGATAGAGGACAAGTACAGGTTTCTTTTTTTTCAGTCTAAAACAATCCATGTCTGAATACAGTTTCATATTGATATCTACCCAAGTTTGTCTTTTCGGTCTTTAACAGTCTTTGTCTGAATGCGACTGTCTGAGAAAGTCTACCTGAGTTCATGTATCTGTAAAGACACATTAAGACTTAAAACACAACACAGAGAGGTCAGACAGATCAGCAGCCGTCTGGGCCACTATGGGGCCTACTTAGGGGGCAGGGGCTATAATGGGGGCACACGGGGGGGGGGGGGAAGAGTACAGGTTGCAGGCAATCAGGCATCTTCTTCTCACGATAAGAGATTGGAATTTTACTGTTAATTCTCACAGAGTGAAAGTTTAAAGGACTCTTAAATCTTTAAATGTCAAAATCATTCCACTTAACTTATTAATTCAGCCTCATTCCACCCCTCTCTCCCCTCAACAAAACCATTTTAAGGTCACCAAGGTCACAGGGCTACAGGAACTACTTTCAACAGCCAAATGGAATCACTGACAACAATTTCCCATTAAGTAACTTACTGCTTGGTGACACAGCATGTACATTATCTGTCCAAAAAGTCAAAACACACTTAATCTTAACAGTGACACATGGAAGCTGGTGTTAAGTGACAAGGTTAGGTCTTACCCGATTTACCCTAATAACTTCTGGATTGCAGAAATGGGCTGAAAATTGCAAATTAGGACTAAATAAGAGTCTGTTTCACAAAATAACTCAGGACCCAGTTTAGATGGTAATGACAATATTTTCAATGGGAAAAATTGTGAATTTTACAGACACTGTACTTTTTTAAAGACAAAAATTCTTAAAATTAGAACATTCCTCTTGAATGCTAGCAACAAAACTAAAAAGCAGGCTACCTGTTCTAGATAAAGATCTTTTCTATACAGAAAGAAGTGCCACTTATGCTGCACAGGAATTTTTTTATAATGATTCTAAAATTAGGTATCTGAAATAGCGATATTTTTACCCATTGAAAAGTTCCGAGACATTACCTTGTCAATTTTACATCACAATATTCACCCTACTTTTACAAACAACAATAATTAGTGTACCAGTATTGAGATAATGTGATACAGAGCATATGTTACATAGAGTAATAAACAGTTAATGGACTGAATCATCAGTAAAGGGAAAAAAAATCACACCACTTTTTTGTCATCAACATGTTGTGACACACAACAGAAATTAACTTCATCAAATTGACGTCAGCATGGCAGGGACAAATAAAACCCCTACCTTCCCTGTTTTACTTTGACCTCTTTTGTGACTATCCTCTTTTGTGACAAATAGCAGGAAAAAAACCTGTTTTAGGTATTAGAATTACTGTAGTGTTAACATTAGTTTTTTAACATTAAGATAAAGGTATTTTCCAATTTGGCTTGGTGTAAATTGAAGTTATAGTGTCAGGAATTATTTCCTAAGAGAGATAAGTGATCCTATGCCAACAACTGCCACCCACCCACCAAGAGTCCTCAAAGAGACTTTTCTCCAAGAAGACATCTCTTTTATCATGGTTTAAGTAGATTCAAGTGAACGACCACATACGGTAGAAGTAGACACAATTCAAGAACACAGGATTTCATTCCTTCTCACACACACCTAGCAGTCACACGGTGTTGAAATTTTATATATACTCTGGTGACACAAAATCCAATTGGTGTCACATGTGTAAGGGTGTGACGTCAATGCCTTCTTCACGACAAGGAAAGGGCAAGATTCTTCAATTCAGAAATATTGAATTTGTCCTTTGTCATGAACCCTAAAAGTTAACTTGTCAACGAGTTTTTCAACATTGGGGAAAGCGAGCGCCACCATTTTGGGATAACATTACATTTCGTAAATGAGGATAATTATCTCATACAAAGTCTTTACAGTAATCCTTCGTCAAATTCGAATAACCTAGAACAATTTTTACATTATACTATAACCTTAAAGTTTGAGAGATTCAGGAACAGAATCATCTGTATACTGGTATGTTTATCTTTCCCTCTTCAAACATAAATAAACTATAGGGCAAATTTCCATATCAGACTTAAAATCTGCCCATAAAATCCAAAACAAACCAAAATGTCACGTTGTACAATGTCTTTCAAAGTAAATACATCCTGACTGGCAGCTTATTCTGGACCTATTTTGATCCTGGTCTTGTATTGGTGTGAACACTCCTATCAGCTTGGAATACGATCCCCCTCCTCACAAAGACCCTCTGATCACAACTGTCTCCTAACACCATACACGGCCAGGGGATAATTTTCCTCATAATAACCAAGGATAGGATTTCTCTTGACAGTCAGTGCTGTCACCACGAAGAATAGATCAGACAAAATTAGAAAATTGTTGCCCTTTTTGTTGAAGAACATAAGTTTTTTTTCTGTTGCAAGGTGTTGTACCCCTTGCCCTCAAAAGGCTCATTCAGAGCAAGTTGATATGTGTACTAACAGATCCGCGGATCAAAAATGGCCGACCCATTTGAAAGCTTCCCACTTAATCCCCAAATAGACACTGAGTGGACTCCCCGTGGAGGTTATGCGGTAAGCATTCACTTAACCTATTTTGCGTTTGTTGTTCTTATCCACAAAAGAACTTATGTAAAGTTATTCACAAAAACATACTTTTTGCCGAGATCCCAATATTTTCCTTCTAGTCCGTTCAAATTATCCTTTATTGTTGTTACTTACAAACATTGATCTGAGAGAAATAATTAAAATGCATTAATCAGAAATCAAACTGCACACATGCACAAACATATTTAAAGCAACTGACTTGAATAATTAC